TTTTATATTAATAATATTGTAACAGCCTTAAACCATCCAGACCATTTCGCCCCCTCAATTGGGAACTACAAGATTGCGTGTCTCATATATGCTGATGACATTGTTCTATTATCAATGAACAAAAAGGGATTGAAACGAAGCTTAAATAAGCTCCAAGAGTTTAGCCACCTAGAGCAATTAAAAATAAATTATACAAAATCTAAAGTGATGATTTTTGGAAAGCATCCCCCCAAGTTCAACTGGACTATAGGCGAAAACAAAATAGAACAAGTCCAGACCTTTAAGTACCTAGGAGTGCATTTCGATGAGAAAAACTGCTGGAAATCCCAGATACAGAGCATGAAAATATCGGCTTAGAAATCTAGCCATGCTCTGGTCAAATTTTTCCATCTCAAAGGTGCTTTTCAAGATGCTTCAATTTAAATATAAACAGGGATGGGGACGGCAGGTACATGAATGTCCCGAAACATCTAAGGCTGTGTATTTGTGGAGCAGGTGAGATAGAGGATGTTGTCCACTATTTACTTAACTGTCAGCTCTATCAAAACCCCAGAGAAAAATTCCTGGGTAACCTTTTGGTTGCACTACAGGAGGAAAGACCTCAGACAAAGGTGGTCAGGTTGCTTTCGGATTGTGACCCATATATCACTTATAGAACAGCGCTGTTAGCAAAAGCGGCCAGAAACATTCGCGCTAATTCCCTGAGAGCCATTGCAATCAATTGGGCTGGAGACTCCCAGATATGAACGGTCTCTTATTATTTTATATCTCCATGATTTTATTCTGATTTTATTTGATTATATTTGTATTTTAAACAATTGTGACGGCTTTTAGCTAATGCAATAAACTTGAGTCTGGTCTGGTCACAACATACCTTCAAGATGAGGATGAAGTAGTCAGCCTCTTTGGAATTTTCATAGAGGTAATGGTGGGGGGAGTCCTTGTGGTCCTCATTAAATCGCAGTTCACAAACCACATCCCGTTGGTGCAGGAGACGCTGCAAGTATTTTTCCGAGAGGAGATCAGGAGAAAATGGGCTTACCTCTGCAAGATCCAGAGAGAGAACAGGAGTCAAAAACTCACCCAGAGCTTGGAAAAGTGATATGATTGATTGGTTGGTTGGTTAACTGACTGACTGAGATCTCAGATCCCAGAATCACTAGCTGAGGGCTTCTGAGAATTGTAGTTCAGAAAGCATAGAATCATAGAGCTGGAAGAGGCCTATAAGGCCATCAAGTCTAACCCCATGCTCACTGCAGGAATCCAAATCAAAACAGGACAGATGGTTGTCCAATTTTCTTTTAAATGCCTCCAGTGCTGGAGCACTCACCACTTCCTGAGGTAATTGGTTCCATTGTCATACTGCTCTAACAATTAAGACATCATTCATCCTAAATCTGGCTTCCCATAGCTTGAGCTCATTATTACGGGCCCTGCATTCTGGAATGATTGAAAACAGATCCTGTCCTCCTCTGTAAAGACTACCTTGCAGGTAGGCAGCCCATTCACACAACTTGCATGATCTACTTGTGGTAAGAAGGAACATTTTGTAATCTCAGTGGCCATTCCGTTTGGGGATTCTGAGAGTTGTGGTCCAAAAAAAGTAACTTTTCTAAAACCTGGATACACCAAGGAGAACTCAACAAAGTGGAAGATCCTTGCCTGAGAAAACACTTCCCTAAAGGAGATGGTATTATTCAGACATCACTTCTGCCTTCACCTCCCTGCCACTCATAGTGGCCCCTGGATCAGACCACTTCCTTCTGACCCGTGTGTCTGCACAATAAAATGGCAACCAGCCTATAATCCTCAGTGGATGTGGGGGATTTATACCTGCGGAGAGGAATCGATGGGCGGCCAAGAGGAGCTGAGGTGAGATTTTAGCTCCGTAATTCCCCTTGAACACGGAAAAATCCCATTCCCTCCTGCTGCTGACTTTTCTCTTAGTACGGTTGTCCACTGCAAAGGAAGAAGGCAAAAAGGCTAGTCAGCAGTGCCAGGGTTGCCAAAGATGATTGCAGATGGGGCTGTGTGCAACCTTATGCAACCCTACTGAACCTAAGCCAGCTTGATCCAATTTAGCTATCTAGCCAAGCACTCAACTATCTAGGAAGAAAGCATGGTCTCAGAACTGACATCACATCTACTAGAACCAGGTCTTTTGTATAGCTTTAGAAATAACTGTTCAAGATCAAGCTCCCCAAAGTATTTCACACTGTAGCAGTGGTAGCCAAGTCAGCTTGGAAAAAGGAAATGCATGGTAGATTAAAGGTAAAGGTTCCCCTTGACTTTTAGTCCAGTCATGTATGACTCTCGGGGGCGGTGCTCATCCCGTTTCCAAGCCATAGAGCCAGCATTTGTCCGAAGACAGTTTCCGTGGTCACGTGGCCAGTGCGACTAGACATGGAATGCCGTTACCTTCCCACTGAGGTGGTACCTATTAATCTACTCGCATTTACATGCTTTCGAACCGCTAGGTTGGCGGGAGCTGGGGCAAGCGACGGGAGCTCACTCCGTCGCGCGGATTCAATCTTACGATGGCTGGGTTTCTGACCTTGCAGCACAGAAGCTTCTGCGGTTTAACTCACAGCGCCACCATGTCCCCCTCATGCTAGATTAGTCTCCACTAATTAAAATTCTTTATGTTCTGCGTTCTCCCTGTCTCGCTCTCCACCCCTCAGTCACAGACATGCACTCACAAACACTGTTCTTTTCTACAAACAAGACAAGAAGGTACATGAACCTAACTGTAAATATCTGACTCATCAATGATCTCTGAATTGAGGATCTCTTCAATGACATCCTCCAAGGTCACCACACCCAACGCTTCACATGGACGCTCATCCTCTGCGTTCTCCCTGTCTCGCTCTCCACCCCTCAGTCACAGACATGCACTCACAAACACTGTTCTTTTCTACAAACAAGACAAGAAGGTACATGAACCTAACTGTAAATATCTGACTCATCAATGATCTCTGAATTGAGGATCTCTTCAATGACATCCTCCAAGGTCACCACACCCAACGCTTCACATGGACGCTCATCCTCTACCATCTTTTGGACAACGGCACGGCCGGCCAGGTGAGATTTCCCTGTGGGACAAATATTGTTTATATTACTGTGGCTAGCCAGAATCACATCAGATGATTCTGTCCATGGCTCAACAAATTTCTGAAACTGATAAAAAGCTCATATATATGGAAGATAACCTCAGAAGGTCTAATATTAAAATAATGAATTTCCAAGTGCAACCGGGACAAGATCTCAGAAAAGAGGTTATGGTTTGGACTAACTCCATAATGGTAGTAATAGTTAATGATGGTTTAACGGAAAAGATTTTTCTAGGCCGAGGCACAAGACAAGGCTGCCCACTTTCACCAATATTGTTTTGTACGGTTATAGAATTATTAGCTAACGCAATAAGAAACGATAAATCAATCAAAGGAACAGATTAAAATGATATAATTAAAATTAATTCGTTTGCTGATGATTCATTATTGACTATTAAAAATCTACTAGAAAGTATGAAAACATCAAAAACCATTTAGAAAAATTTGGGGAAATAACAGGTTTAATGATTAATTGGCAAAAATCACAAATGATGATGTTTAATTATACTATACAGGAACAAGAAATGTTTGTGAATAAATATAGTGTTAAAATGTGTAATCATATTAAATATTTAGGTATAAACGTAGTTAGAACAACTCAAATATTAAAGGAGAAAATTTTTAATAAATTAAAAATAAAATTAAAGATAAATTGCAAGAGTATGCTAAATTGAAACTATCATGGTTTGGCAGAATTGCTATAGTTAAAATTAAAATAATACCAAAGATTACTTTTTTATTAGAATGCTCCCAATACAATTAGAAGGCTTCCGGTTCCGGCGAGGGAGGAGGTAGTGTCTCTATTGAGCTCCGCTCCCTATCTAAAATAGTTTTAACAGTTATAAATATTTGGAGTTTTTCTCTGTAACGGAGGGAGGAACGAGCAGGCAAGCTCCAATCTCCACTCCCTTTTATGTTTTTACTCTTTTATCTTTTAAGCTTTTAGAAATAAG